ATCCATGTCGATTCCAGTGGCAAAGAAGGAAGCGAGGAAATCTATTTTTGAATCCTACCATCGATGATGAGAAATTGGTTCTGTTTGGGGGAGGGGTGCGACCCCGCGGAAGTCAACATACATATGGTCCCAAACCAATGCGTCCCCACCTCACCTCGCTCTCTCTTCTACTTTTCCCTCCCCGGAGCTTGTGGCTGGACCTGGGGAAGCCGCTTTTTCTCCGTTACATGCAGACCTGCGTCGGGGGGCCTGGGGACACTGCAGGCCTGGGCTGTCACGCGCCTCTCCAAGCCCAGCGCACGAGGCCAGGAGGCGAGCGCGCGCCTCCGCGGCCACGTTCTCCTGCAGGCTCCGCTGAGTACGCCACTTCAGGCTGAAGAGGTTTCTCTCTGATTGAACTTGAAACCAAACCTTCGTGTTCTTGAGCCTAAACGTACCCGGGTGCACCCCTCTTTTTCCTCCTCCCCTGAGACCGCTCTCCTCCGCAAAAAATAAAAATAAAAAAAGGAGCATTTCTCTCCGAAGGTGAATTTTAGCTGGGGAAAAGAATTGGCATCGTGGCAGCTGTGCATCTTTTAGGTGTTTGCGTGAACCCTCATAGCCCCCAAGATGGCTGGGCTAAGCCCCAACCCAAGGAGGGAAGGGCAGGAGGGAGAGGGGCAGGGATACCCTCTGGGCCTTTCCACTCTCCTCCCTGCCCTGCTAACTTGTAAGCTAGGATTGGCTGAGCAGAGAGCTTGGTGCTTGGGTTCCTAGCAGACTGGGGTTCAGACTCCAGTTCTGCTACTCGTGAGCTGCATGCCTGTCTCAGGGTCTTAAGCCTCCACGTGCTCATCTCTGAAATGGGCCTTGCAATCCCCACCTAGCCCAGCTGTGAGGAGGCCCTGAGGAGATGGTCTCTGCTGTGGGGCTAAGCTGGAGTATAAATCTGAGGGACAGTCAGGAGAGGCAGAAAAGGCTGCCCCCACTGAGCCCCAGCTTCTAGCATGTTTCACTTCCAGGACTCTCATCAGGCCTCCCGAGTCTTTGGGTGCTGGCCCTGCCCAGTTCCAGGAGGTGCCCTGCAGTCAGGCAGGGCCAGGGGAGCTGATGACGCTCTCGGATGCAGGATGGAAGACGCATGGTGTTTGGGAGCAGGGAGGAGGGAGAGGGAGCAAAAGCTCCTGTGAGCCCCTGCTGGGCCTCAGTTTCCCCAACCGTGTAACATCCCACCGGGCTGGTCCAGTTGGGGTGCAGACACCTCCAAAACCATGCCCCAGTCTTGGCAGAAACAAAGCCTGGGACTTGGAGACTCTCAGCTGGGGGTGGGGGTGCAGAACAGGATGTTAGGAGGGAGTGAAACCTCCCCCAGCTGCCTTGCCCTGCGGGTGCATGACCAGGGAAAGCTAGTCTCTGGGGCCCCTCCAGCTGGACCCTGCTGCGCTTCCCTGATCAGCATGGGAAGCTGTCTGGTGCAGGCTGGGGTCTGTGTTTGCAGAGGGGGAGGGAAAGGGCTGGAGATAACATTTCTTTGGTTCTCTCAGAAAACTTTCACCCATCACCCGCTCCCTTGCTGTCTAACCAGCTGGCCTCTAGGCAGAAGGCACAGAGGACACTTTCTGGTTGCTGGAGGGCTGGGGCTTCAGGCAGGGCCACTTGGCTTGGCAGAAGGAGGGAGCCCTGCAGAAGCCCAGGTCTGCATTGCAATCCAGCTCCATGGTTGGCGGTCCAGTCCCTGCTACCTGTGTAGACCACCTGCCATGCCATGCTGTGTAGAGGGTGGAAGCTGCCTGCCTCCTCTGGGATCCCAGAGGTTTGTACTTTGGAGAGGAGAGGGGAGGGGAGTGCAGGAGAGGGGAAGGGAGGGGAGGAGAGAGGAGGGGAGTGCAGGAGAGGGGAGGGAGTGCAGGGGAGGGGAGGAATTCATAGAGAGAGGAGTGGCTGTCTGGACTTCCCAGCCCCACACTTCCCAGCCCCCAGGGTCTGCTAGCAAACAGCATACGGCGCTGACTTCTCCCCAAGGTACCTGATTGGCATTTTCATGCTTTCTGTGCAGCCTTGAAGTCTGTGACAGTCACCAACCTCCCCTCCCCACGGCTCCTAAGCTACGCTTTCTCTTGTCTGCTTGATGAAAAGAAATCTCTGGTCTCCTGAATTTACAAACGCTTTATTGACACTAGAGCAAACCAACAAGAAAGCTCCAGACTTACAGGTCCTGCCAGAAAGGAGGCCCCCTCCCCTCAGCAGCCCTGCAGGGGGCTCTGGAAGGCTTCTGCCCCCTCCTCCAGCTCTCTCTAGCTGACTGGGCGGAGGCTGGTGGCAGCTGTTGGAGAAAGGGCAAGAAGGGGCCAGGCCTTGTGAGTACAGTAGTTTTCTACTTACGAAAACCGGGTTCCCTTTGGGGACAGGTGTGGCATCCCTGTTTATAGACAAGGAAACTGGGCTCAGAAGGGAAAATGACCGGCCCAGGACCCTCAGTAGTCCGGGGATGGAGCTGGGATTAGCAAGCAGGTGCCAGCCAGCCCTTTAGCCTAAGCCTGTGACACTGGGACACAGATGCCCTGGATGAGACCGCCCTCCCCAGGCCTCTCTCCCTTTCCGAAACCGGGGAGGGCAGCGGTGGGAAGCGACTCAGCTGGGCAAAGGAGGGGTTCAGATGGGGGTGCACTGATGGCCTCCGGGCACCCGCTTGGTGCCCCCAGCAGTCCACACTGCACCTCGTGACTTGGTCTGAAGCTGGGGGGGGGGCGCCTCACCCTGGGCAGCTTAGCCCTGAGATCCCCCGCCCCTCCTTAGCGTCTGGCTGAGAACCCAGCCCTTCCTGATCTGCCTGCCACACTGCGTAGGATAATTTTGGAGGCTGAGGTCAGGGTCCTTGGAGTGAAGAGGGGAGGGAGGGGAGGGAGGGGAGGGAAGCTATGGGGATCTCCATGCAGTGGACACTTGGACCTCCAGGCCTGGGCCTGCCGGCCACTCTCACTGTAGCCCAGGGCCTTGGGCAAAAGGCCTTCTTTCTCTGGACTCAGTTTCTTCACCTAAGAAGAGTCTGCGATGGGAAGAAAGCGGGGTAACAGAAAGGCAGGGGGACGGGGTGGGCTGCCAGTCAGGGACAGCTACTGAGTGACTGCTCCCTCCAGCCATCACCAAATCCATTCCCAACATCCCCATCCTTTTCTGGGTCTTCTGCAGAGAGCACCAGGGAAGGGGTGCCTTCCCCAAGGGGGTGGGGGCTTCCCTCCAGCCTCCTTGGAGCCAGCCTGGAGCAGCTCCAGTCTCCACCCAGTCATGATGTGCCTTCCAGAGTCCAGACTTAGGGCCTTACGGCATTGTGCCTGGAAGCCCCCCCCGCCCCACCACCAGCAGGGTGGGAAAGGGGAGACCACGAAGTGGGGAGGCCATGAAAAATGGGTGAGTACTGACTCCCTGCACCTGGGATCTATCTATAGGCAAACTAATCTATGCAAATGAAGCTTACACAAATGACCCCTCTAAAGATCCTGACCTCCTGGTACTCATCCCCAGGAGGTTAAACACCTTTAATCGCCTTTCACCACCCCTCACTATTGCCTAGCAGCAACTTCCAGCATTTTTCTGAACCTCCCAATTCTGCACCTGGGTGTGGGAGGCTGCCCAGGAGAGGATAGGCTCGAAGGCCCAGGAACTCTTTGGACAGGGAGGGTCTCTGGCAGGGTCACCATCCCACCTACGCCCCTGCCTGCCACATCTGGATGGAGGCCTCCCCGTGGGTCTGGAATACGTGCTGAATGCCTGCTGTGCCACTTTGCGTGGGAGAGGGAGTGTACGTGTGAGCTTGCCTTCACATGTCACTGATGGGTGTGATTATGCGTGCTTGTGTGTCGGGTGACTGTATAAGTGTGTTTTAATGAGCGTATAACCAAGAGCCTGCGATTTGTAAGTCCTTGGGGACTGGTGTGTGTGCGCGCTTGTGAATATCGGGTGTGTGGCTGCGTGTGAGAGCCATGGTTTGTTTCACACGACGAAGGCCCTGAAGGTGTGTGCCAGCGTGTGTGGGGTGTGTGATGACCCAACATGTGCTCTGGCGTCTGTATGTTGACACGTGTGTTCGCATGTTCAGGCTGCACGCGGCTCCGCACGTGCCTGTGTGGACGGCCTGGTGCATACGCAAAGATGCGCAGGGTTTCATAACTGTGTGCGCGCTGGCCTCTATGCGTGCCCATGGCTGGGCATGTGGCACTCCCGACTATTTCTATAACGTGCTTTTGTGTTGCAGTGTGTGTTTGTGTCGTAGGATGTGTCTGGGTTGCAGTGTGTGTGTGGCTACAAGTGTGTGCGTTTTTCCTGCGTCTTTATGGCTAGAGGTCTGCATGCATAAGGCTTTTCATGAGTCGTTTTCTGGGTGCGTGTGTGATTACGTGAGGATTCTATGTCTTTAGAGTGTGCATGTGCGGTTTTCTGGGTGTGCGAACCATGGCATGTGTGCTTGGGACCTTGGCGATAAGTGTTTTGGTGTTTCTGTGCGTGTTTCCGTATTCCGAGCGTGTCCTTGCGCCGTCCTGGGGTCTGCGGCCCAGCCCAGGTTTGGTTCATGCGACGTGTGCTAAGCGGGCCTGGCTGTGCGCGCCCGTGTGCCGTCCTGTGTGGGGAACGTGTGCTCAATGCGCGCGGGGTACCTGTGCCCGTCTAGCCAAGAGTGCGCCGCGTGCGCGAGCGGGTTTCCGGGACGCCGCAGTGGTGGGGGGTGGCCCTGCGAGGGGCGGGGGTCACCGGGACTGGCCGGCGCCGGCCCCGTGCGCGCGGAGGCGGGGGCGGGGG